GGACGCGGGAAGACACTCGTGGGACCCAAGTGCACCAGAAGCCACGCAGCAGCGCGGACAAGCGGGGCGTGGGGGGACACAGGGGATGTGATGTGGAAGCCAAGAGGAAGGGAGCCTCAGCCAGCCCGAGCTGAATCTGGGGTGATGATGGTGAGGGGTCCTCTCTCCCAGATGGTCCCCCTCCCCCGTCTTTTTCAGTTGAACCCCCGCTCCGTGGAGGCGACACGCGTGATTTGTGCGCAGGCCCCGTCTGCCCCACGTTTGCAAACCCAGCTCCAGGGGACATCTCCACCTCTCAGCAGAGCTGAGATCCTGGAGCCACCAAGGCGGCCTTGCTCCAGACACGCGTGGGGGCAGCAGGGGCATTCCCCCCGGGGTGCCAAGAGGCAGAGGGACCCCGAGTCTCCTCTGTGGGCCCACTCCAGCGCTAACATCTCTCCTGCTGCCTCCCTGGGCCCCGGCCTAGAGCCAGCCCCTGCCTACCTTGCAGAGTACACCGCCCCATCACACACCTGCAGCGCCCAGACCCAGCACCAGTGCGCATGTCTCTCACCACCCAGCCACCTCTCTTTCTTTCTTTCTTCTCTCTTTTTTTTTAAAGCAAACTCTGCCCGTGGAGACGTTCAAAAAACCCAACCCAAGAACTCAAAGCCAAGCCGAAACTTTCTGCTCAGTTTTCAGCTCGGGGTGGAAGCTGCCTTCAAGGGCTTTATTGTCTCTGTAGTGAGCTGGGGGAGTGGGGGTGGGTCTCTGCTTCAGCTGTGATGTACAGACCTCACCGACCTTATCTCTCGTTCACAAGCCCTGAGGATGGGCCGGGGGGTGGATCTGATATTCCTCCCTGATAAAGCTTCTGCTCCTCCGCTAGCCCTCTGGACTCCTTCCAACCTGCACACAGCCCAGCCTACCACACAGCAAAAAAACAACAACCCCCCCTCCCCAAAAAACCCAGACCCCCCCTCCCAACACCACCCGAAGCCCTCCAGGGAAGGCAGCCCCATCCACTGCCCTCCAAAGCACCCCTTTCAGTCCGATCCAGGGCCCACGATTTCAAGACTCAGCGAGCGAGCGAGAAGTGGGGGAAAAAACGAACTTACTGAGATCGCTTGGGATCCATTTGGGGAGATGTACCTTCACTCCCAGCAGCTTGAAACGTCGTAATCCACACTAAATGCCTTGTCCCACTGTCCCAGGATTAAACAGCTCTAGCAGCTGCGATGGTGGACAGTTAAGATTATATATGATGTAAATATATTGTGGGTTTGTCAGCTCCCCCAAACCATAAAACTTAGTTTAATGACATCACGTGCTCTCCGAGAGCCATTCAGGGCTTTTGCTTAAGGCTATCCACATAAATAACCTTCAAAAGTTTTAAACTACTAAATTCACATAGAAGCCATGAGTATTTCTCCTAATGTTCTCATGTTTCTCAGTGAAACTAAAAGCCTTTTGCTCCCCCCCCCAAAAAAATGTACTGGATTTTTTTTTTTTAAAGAAATAATATGGAACTTGAGTGTGTTTGTTTTTTTGGGCCATTTTAAGTTCACCCTGTGTTGACACGGATGACAGGGAAAGGTAAGTAATTTCTTATTTCCTTCTTGGGGTTTGCAAACGTCTTTGGGCAGGGCTGGACACAGCAAACAGGGAAATAGGTAGCAAAAAAGTTCTCCAGGCAGCAACAATAATCACCCAAGAGAGAGAGAGACAGAGAGAAAGAGAGACAATCGGTCCTGAAAAAAATTACTCTTTAAGAAAGACAGTGGTGAGGGGTTTGAAAGAGATCCATGGGTTTTTTTTTTTCCTCCTGGAAAGACAGAGTAAACGAATAATTAATCATAAGTAACTACACTGCTGCTTCGCATTATGGTAATGAAAAAAAAAAGTTTGAAGCTTTATGTGTTAGGGTTTACACTCCCTTCTCCCCCAGCAGAGAAAAGCACAGTGGGTCTGATTCTGTTAACTCTTAGCTGTCAACTCTCATTTTGCCTTGACAGCTTACGGATTCAAGGAAGGGAAGGGAAAAAAAAGCCAAGAGGAGATTGCTAAGGAGTAAAAATACAGTGCGGAAGGGGAAAGTGGAAGGGAATAGAGCCGAGCTACCAGGATACGCCAAGTTATTTTGTGTGCTTGAGCAATCACACAATGGATTTACGCAGCATGGGTTAAAAATAAAAACCTAAAAAGGAAATGATTGGAGCGGTTATAGGTCTCTATTATCCTATTTGAAATTACCCAAGGCCCACATAGTCCGCGACCACAACGTTAAGCAAAAACTGATCCAGGCAGGCAGAAATTTATATACCCAGCTTTGCTTTGCTTTGCAGTATTTCACTCCCCTGGATGTAAACCTGACAGTGCAGACAGAAAAAAAGGGGAGAGTTTCAAGTCTTGACAGTAAAATTAAATGCCACCGTCTCTCTGCCAGCATTATTTGATACTTGTAACTAATCCCCACCACCCCCCAAAAAAATACAATCACCACAATAAAAGCGTATAAGCAGAGGCAACATCAGACCAGCACGTTGAATATAGAGCCACCAAATTTGAAGACGCGGTGCTAATTGTACCCTTAGAAGACTTGCAGGGCAGCCAGTAAAAGAAACTTTTGTTTCCAGGTTCAGGAAATGGATCCATTGTTTGAAATGTGTAAAGGAAATACTATAAAGTTTTATTGAGCCATTGGCTTCTTCAAGCGTTTGTTTCTACTGTAAATAGCTCTCGAGACGTGTAAGGAATGGCCTTCGGAGGGTGTGTGTTTGTGTGTGGACGGCTATACGCGCAGGTAGATGTGCAGGCGCACATGCGGACACGCGTGCATTTAGGTGCAGGTAGGCATGGGTGTGTGTCTCCTTTAGGTGCAGGTAGGCATGGGTGTGTGTCTCCTTTAAGTGCAGGTAGGCATGGGTGTGTGTCTCCTTTAAGTGCAGGTAGGCATAGGTGCATGTCTCCTTTAGGTGCAGGTAGGCATGGGTGCGTGCCTCTGTTTGCAAATGAGCGTGTGTCAGGATGCGTGTGTCTCGCTTTGCATGTGCCATAGACAAATATAGCCCCAGACACCTATGTAAAAACCTGGATATACACCCCCTCACACATACACACACGCATACAGACACAAACCAGCCCTCCACGAGTACCGTATGTCCTATGTGAAGCCCATCACTCCAAGCAAGAGGGTTTTAAGGGGTTGTCCTCGAGAGTGGGGCAGGGGGGGAAGCAGGGAGCAAAGTATCAGGGTTTTTGGCAGTCCGCCCTTCCAACCCCACCCCAGCAAATGCTCCCCTTCCTCCCCAGCCCCGCGGTGCCTTCTGCAAGCTCAAGGCACCTTCCACAAAGATCTTCCCCCCTGCTAACACCGCGGGTGAAATCCTGACCTCTCGAAGCCAATGGGAAGTGGGTCCTACTTCCCCAGGATTTCCTCGGGAACCTCTCTTCCAGCAAACATGGGCTTCATTTTGTGCCTACCCATGCCAGGACCAGCTTGACCACTGGGACAGGTCCCCTCCAGTGACTCGGACTCCAGAGCTCCCATGGAGATCACCTGCCTTTGCTTAGGGCGCTTCACATTGTTCCAAGAGTATGGGGACTTTGCAAGGTGGCTACTTTGGGGAGGCTTTTCTGAGCTCCAGCCCTGGTTCATGTCACCTGCCGGCTAAGGGGAAGGGATCTGGAGTCTCAGATGAACTCATTGAGGGCTCAGCTGAAGACAGAGATGACTTATGCTTTGTATATTGGCCGCACTCATAGGCCTAACTCCTCAGATACTTAGCCAGCCAGAGCACCCTCCATGCCTGCCCACCTCTCTCTGGGTGGCAAAGGGGGACAGACTGGTGTGGGGGAAAGGACTCCTCTCTCTCGGCACGGCAACCTTGTGCATTATTTCGCGTTTATTCAATATGACAAAATATAAGTTCCATGGTCTTTCACATATGAAACCGCAACCAATAAATATACGGAGTACAGTCTTGCAAAAAATAAAATAAAATAAAATAAAACAACCCCCAAAAAAACCAACATAAAAAGAGAGGTTACTAAAATGGACTACATTTAAACAAAGATGTACAAACGTGTTGTTTCCTTTTATATATATATATATATATATATAGATATGTTTAGCATTTAGCAAATCGACATGAATGACGGCAACAAATAAATACACGATAATATTAGGTCCAGAGAATTCTCTTTCTCTGAATTTTTCTTCCCCCTCCACGTGCTTCTGCGTAGAGGTTTCGGGGTGGATTATTTCATAGTCCATTCAGGTCTTTACATATGTAAATAATCATAATTGGGGGGTGGGGGGGGAAGCTTAAGTCCAAGCAAAAACAAACAAACCCTTTTTTTTTTTTTTTCAAAAATAAAACCTCCTCTCAGAGTATTTGCCCTGGTTGAGGAGAAGTGCATGGAGGAGGGAAGTCATGGACAGAGCCAGTCCACGATAAAGGTAAACATTTCCTGTTTGGACTTCAGAAAGGAAAAGTGAAGATGTCACAAGGTCCTTTATGTAGCTAGAGCTCAAGTAGACAGACGTGGACTCACACACAGTTACATGGATCCTGGATCCCAGAAGGTTAAGCCGATACTATGGAAAGATCCTGTGACTTGAGACAACTTACTTTGCGATGAGGGCTTTTCCTCTCCCATCCCAGACATCTTATGGATGTTATTCCTATGAGCATGGTTATTTCGGACTGGATAAAATAGAACCCCATTCACGCTACGGAGCTTTTTTTTTTTTGAGCAACATTATTATTATTATTATTGTTATTATTATTATTATTCCCCAAAAACGGACATTGAAGAGACAATCTAAAGAGCTATACACTAAATTCTGCAGGAAGCTAACAGCAGGTTTTTTGCATACTAATAAGAGAACTCCTTTGTCTGATGGATTTGTGGGAGTATGTAACACAGTCCATTCAGCAACAAACTCCCCCCCCCACCCCCCACCCCACCCCAAAAAAAGCAAAATAAAAGGAAAGGAAAGTTTTCTTAAGGGAGGATGCAACCAAACTAGGGGAGATATTTTTGACTCTTCATTTGGAGAGTCGCCTTCCTACTTAAAGAGACTCTTTGCTTTTCAATTTGGAATCTTTCTTCCACTTCATCCTCCTGTTTTGAAACCAGATTTTGATTTGTCTTTCATTTAAGCATAAGTTGTTGGCAATCTCAATGCGCCTCCGGCGTGTGAGATATCTGTTAAAATGAAATTCTTTCTCTAGTTCCAGAGTTTGGTAGCGAGTATAGCTGGTCCTGGACCGTTTGCCATCTGTTTCTGGAAAATAAAAGACACCACATGAAAAGCCAAAACAATCCTGCGTTGGGTTTTTTTTCCCCCCCTCTCCCCCTTCTTTCTTTCTTTCTTAATTATAATAAAACCACAGACTAGAAATAAGTTGTGCCCAGAGCACTGGTAGTTTTAAACCAGCTCGAGGTGGGAGACAGAGGTCATCGGGAAAATTCTCATTTTATGAACACCTTGAGACTAAAGGGCTTTTCCCCACCACCACCCCCTTTTTTTTGGCTTCCCCCAAAAACATCAAACGCAGGGAGATGAGTGAGAACTGAGCCTAGTCCCTTGTTAAACAATAAGAAAGTGCACCAAAGAGGGCAATCTGTGTCTATGGGGGCTGAATTTCTTCTCCTGGGAAGGTGGAAATATAATACCTCTGTGTATGGGCGGGAGAAATTTTCCCTATTTTTTTTTTTTTTTGGTCTGTGTGTGTCATGTTTTTTTAAAGATAACCCTACAAGAACGTGTGTATCTCGAGTTATTTTTAACCCCCCACCAAAAAAAAAAAAAAAAAAAAAAGAAGGAATATTGCCTTTTATACACGTTTTGTTTCTATGGTCCAATTATGCTGTCATAAATTTGGACGTATATAGCCTCTAAGCCTTTTAGTGGACAGTTTTACGAGCAATTGATGCCTTGGTCGTAAAATTTACGACCTCAGGTTTTTTTTATTATTTGCCCCGTATGGCCTATAAAACCAAAGCAAATCCTGTGAAACAAAATCAAGAAGTGAAAGTTTACCATGGCTCATGTGTAGTTTGGTCATCCACGGGTATATTTGTGGTGGTGGCTGTTGCTGCTGTCGTTGTGGTCCTTCTTGTTGTGTTCCCTGCACCGGCTCAATTTTGATTTCGCCAGTGCTCTTAGATCTATCTTCCAGCGCCGTGTTACCAGCCTTCTGACTGTAGATCCCTGGATTTAGTGGAGTCTGGTCGTCTCTGGCTAAAGAGTGCCCTGAAGAACCCATAACTGTGCAGGAAGGTCGATCGGGGTTAGATCTAGGGGTTGAAGACATGTCCAAACCGTTGGAGGAGCCAGAGGATGGGAATGTGATGCTTAGATCCAGCCCACTGTAGCAATACCTGGATGACTGAATCTCAGACACAGATCCATAATTCCCATAACTTGGCATAGAATAGGCAGGAACATTTTGGCTTTGCTTATAGAAGGAATTGGCTACGTAAGAACTCATGGCGGGTGCTTTGCACCCTTTTTTGATTACCCTTGATTTGTGGCACTTTGAAGTTGAGGGGGGTTTTTGTTCTCGAAAGTGCAGAATTTATAGGTGGGGATTCTTCTTTCTTTATTCTCTGTGCGCTGCCCAAATATGGGATGTTTAAATAGAGTCACGTGACTCGGTTGGCCAGTCATAAATTTGGCTTGATGACCCCGGGAGTTATTGATGGGAGCCTGTGAAACGTATCTGATATGTTGGCAAAAGCAGCCGGCAGGCCCCGGAGTGCGCACCGAGACGGCGAGGCTGCAGCGTCACCTGGTGCCAGGCCCGGGGTACAGCGGCTCCCAGAGCCCGGCCGGCATGCGAGGGGCTGGGAGGACAAGGGGAGGGGGGGCAGCGCCTGCCACAGCCAAGCGCACTTCTCCTTCTCCCCAGGCAGGACCCGGGGGGCTTGGGCAAGCCAGAGAGCCGCAGCCGGGCATGGGCATCTTTGGGTGGCACAGGGGACTTGAGAGCCTTGGGCACCCACTCCTATGGCCCTTCCCTCCTCTTGGGGCGTGCAAAGCTTGCACACAGCAACCTGTGCGTGTGTGTGCGCACGGGTGTGCATTGCACATAGGAAAGCGTTGAGGTTTGTGTGTGGGGGCTTTTTAAATGACCCCCAAAAGGCCGCTTTGGGGAACTTTTTTTTTTTTTTTTTTTTGCTGCCTCCATCCCTTGTTGCGTTGGTGTGATGCGTGCCCTGCATTTCCTACGCACCGGATCCTAACGTGATCCAGTTGCTCTGGATGGATATGGGATCTTGCTGGGTGCGCCTTTTATTTTTTAGGGTATCACCTAACTTTCCGGGGCTGCATACTTGGAGTGCACCCACGCTGTACACCCATCTGTACATGTGTACGTGTGTGTTGTTTTGCACTGCACCCAGCGCTGCGTGTGTATCACTGGAGGGGAAACAAATAAAGTTATCTCCCCATAAATATTGCATGGCTTTTATCAGCGGTGGAGGTGGGGGGGACGACAAGGGCTCTGAAGTATTAAGCACGGGCTGTTTCTGTCATGTAGCTACAGTAATGTGCCACAGTTTACAGTCTCTATTACCTTTACCGCCTGCAATTTATGGCTTGCAAAAGGATGCCTACCTCGGGGTGGAGGAGCAAGATCCCCTGCAAAGGGAGCTGGGTGCAATCCCGGCAGGGAAAGCCGAGTTTGGCCCCCCTTTTGCAAGCCTGGATGAAGCAGAGAGAGCAGTGGCCACCCCAGCACCTCTTTCGGGGCGTGCTGCTACGGATTCCGGAGCGGATCTTCTATTGCAAAGGCTATATCATCCTACCCATGGATTATAGGCTATGTAGGCGCTTTATAGACACATAGATATATGGCTATTCCTGTATACTTACATACATATATAAAAAAAAGCCCATTTCCCATCCTACTGAAATTCAAAGCAGCAGTTTGCTTCCTTCTCTCTGCTTGCCTCAAGCCTCCAGGTTTTTGCACACATCTGCACCCTGAGACAGAATTATTATCGGCTTTGGGGCGTTGATTTTTTTTTTTTTACCGCCTCTTTGCTCGCTTTTTCCTCCGCCGACGAACACGAGAGACAGAGAGGGGGGGAAATAAGCCAAGGATGGGACTGAAAGATTTCTCTGGGCTTCTCTCTCTCTCTTTTTTTTTTAAATGAATATTATTTGGGGGAATGAGAGGGAAGGTTTTGGCGGTTTTGTTTCCAATTGAGGAGCTTTGGCAGAGGGGGGGTCCAGGAAAAAGCTGCCTGGAGCATTTCCGAATAACGTGGCATAGAAAATGACCGCCTCGCTGCTAAAAGCCTCAGTCCTGGATACAGCATCGAGGATCTGTGGCAGCCTTCGTTATACAGAATATAAGTCCTCTATACACTGTACCCCACCCTTCCTTTTTCGCCTAGCCAGGTTAGGGTCTAAATAAGTCTAGAGAAATGGGCAACTGCTTCAAGCTGGGTGCCCACCAGCCTTGCCCCAAAAGCGCTTCTTGAGCCCTATAGACGTCCATTTTTTTCAGTCGTTGGACCTGTGTTTTTTTTTCTGGGTTTTTTGTTTGTTTTGTTTTTGACTGGCGAGGACTGCAATTAAAAATAAAAATCCTCTGGGACCTTTGGACGTGCATTTTTTTAAAGCAAGAAGCGGGTAGATGCGTGGCTCCATGGGGATAACACGGCAGCGAGATGCAAACAAGGAGACGAGGCAACATATATTTGTGTGTATTCTCCCTTCCTTTTTGGCATAGGCTGGGGCTGGGAGAAGTCTGCAGGATGGAGAAGGGAAGGGGGGGTGGACTGAAAGGATCCGACTTCTAGGGACAACACAGAGGGGAGAAGTGAACTTTCTCCCAGGGTGTTTCCAGTGGGGCAGGCTTCGACTGAATCTCAGAGGCCACTCTCTAAACTTTAAAAATAATATTCAGTTTTATTAAATACTCAACAATAGTCCTCTGACATGACTTTTATACATGAGAGAGTGTAACACAAGGCTTTTTTTTTCTTCTACTGCTAGAGAACGCCATTCACGTTATACTGCTGAACATTACAGTGCTAAACATAAATATAAATACAGAGACCACAAATACAGCTAAAAATATTCACACAGAAACTGTCACAGTTTGTAGTATGCAGTGATGACCCCGGGGTATTGTTTAAATACACGTAGGTTACTCTTGCAAATGCTATATTTACGTGGAAAGAGGGGGTTTTCTTTTCCAGGGGAGGAAACCCATGGAGGAGGGCTGGCTGGGCTGGGTTTAATTTTTGGAGGATAATGCTCAACCGACTGCATAGAGTCCATCTTTACAAGAGCCACCAACACAACAGGGGAAGACGTTTCTTTCCTTTTTTTTTTTTTTTAACCAGGGTGTTGCTTTAAACACAGTCCTTATTCAAAGTTAGATAAATAGGCAAGTGTGTGTGTGTGTGTGAGGAGGAGGAGCGGGGGATTGAGGGGAACATAAAAGGGACTGTGGAGCAAGTTATGAACTGTATATACTGAGAGGGGGGGTGGGAGAGGGTGTATTTTAATGTCCACATTTGGCTTCTTCTTTTTTTTTTTTTAATGGAGCCAAACATATAAATTGTGCCAGTGATAAATATAGCGTGTGTGGGGGGCAGGGCTGGCCTCCTCTGTCTCTTCTCGCTTCTCCTCCTTGGCACCCAGGCTCTCTGCAGCCGCCCCCGAGCCCCCGCCTCCCGCAGACAGCGTGGAACTCAAGTTACTTTCTTTTTTCCATTTCATCCTCCTGTTCTGGAACCAGATTTTGATCTGACGCTCCGTTAGGCAAAGTGCATTGGCGATCTCGATCCGCCTCCGTCTTGTCAAGTAGCGATTGAAGTGGAATTCCTTTTCCAGTTCCAGGGTCTGGTAACGGGAGTAGATTTGGCGACCTCTCCTGCGGTCCGCTCCATAGCCGACCCCTACGGATTCAGAGACAAACCAAACTAAGAGCCATTAGTGAAGACCCAGGCAGGGATCTCCAGCCCCAAGAAGCCCCAAATCCAGCTCCCCTTCTCTCCCCGCACTCCCTCCAGGCTGAGCACACTCACCCTCTGCAAACGCTTGGTTTTATTTCCCCCCAAACTTAGCAACAACAAAAAAAATCTAATTAGGTTTTTTTTTTTCTCTACGGGGCTTTAATTACTAGAAATAAACCCTTCCTCTCCTGTACTGGCAAGACAATTTCATAAATCCCACCCCCCCACCCCTTTAGAAATCTGTCAAGGAGGGGTTGGGAGCTTTTAGCTTCCCCCCTCCTTGCCCATAAAACCGCACTTCCTCACCTCTCATTAAAACTTATTTCACCCTAGTAATATTTTGTACTTAACTCCAAAGCAGAGCCCACTGCACTTTATTATAGATATTTTACACTCTCGAAGTCTTTTAATTAGAAAGAGCATAACAAGCCATATTTGCCTGAAACAACTTAACAAATAAAAGGCCTGTAGCGGCAACTGTGAAGGAGCTATATTATTGTTTTTATGGGGCCATAAAAAGTAGCTGAGCCTGTTCTGCTGGGGAGACGGTCGTAAAGATGGTTCAGTTTATTTAATTTATATCTCCGAGCTGTAAAACTTACCACTGTGGGAGTTCATGCGCTGCATCCATGGATATATTTGAATGCTAGTTTTTTGTTCTTGCGAAGTGTTTCTGTTTTGGTCACTGGTAAAATCCTGTGCAATTGAAGTCTGTGTATTGTGTCCCATTGAATTCTGTCTGCAGCTAGAAAGCATGTCTTTTTCTTGGTAAAAGGCATTAGATCCATAGTCATAGGGTCCTCGGCTTGAGCTAAACACAACATTATCTTGCGGTGAATAAAAAGGAGAAGAATAAATCCGGTTTTGAGCTACGGCTGCTCCATAAGTAGAAAAATGCCTGACGGGATCATATGCAGTCGAATTGAGAGCTACATTGGGCAGGACCTCTTGCCCACTGGTGAGATGGCAAGACAACGATGGGTTTGTGAAATAGGAATTCATATCTTCCTCTACACCTGGCTGTATGATTTCTTTAATATTTATTTCTGTCTCCAGTTTGTAGCCTGAACTAGATTGTTATAGGGAAGGCTCTACTCCAGGACAGACAAAATGACAAAGTCAGCTGACCCAATTGGAGCCAATAGGAAGCTAGATGTCAAGAAAGGGAAAAATTGCTTTTGCTTCTGTTGATTCCCCAGTTGAAACTAAGTATGCATTGAAAGTAAGTCTTGAAATTCTAAATATAAGGTGGTTTGGGGAGGGGGGAGCAAGGGTGAGGGGCTGCAGGGGAGGGGGAGGGCTGTTA